GTATTAAACTTAACACAGTTAAATTTAATATTGCTTTAACGAAGACTATACTATGAAGTTTTCGAATTTTTTGTTTTGTTTACAAAATTGGGGATCGATCAGGTTACAATTAGGTTCAAATTTATAAATAAAATTCATAAGTGATTCATAAGCAATTCATTATTGGGCTTACAATCTTTGATTAAAAATCACTTTTATTCTCAATAATTATATCATATCAAATAAATGATTGGCTCAAATTTTATTTAATCTAATAATTCATTATGAAATTGAAGATTTTTGTCTATATGTTATTATGTTTTATATAAAGTACCAGCTTTACAAAAGTTTAATCTGCATTACAGTATTGTACTATTTGATTTAAATATATGATCTGAATTTTAACTTCTCAAAATTGTTTAAAATTTAATTGCAGAAGATCTGATTATATTCTTACTTAGTACAGTATTGTCAATCAACTGAGTAAAATTTTATATTAAAAGTTCTAAATTTTTTTTTTGTAACATTTGTTAAATTAACTGAGTAAGGTAATGTTATACTTAGTATGCTTCAATAATTAACTGAGTAATACTCAAATCAGGTTTCTTCTAAACAGAAATACGCATGATAATACATGATGCTTAAACACTTTGATGGTTACAGAATTATCATTTATTAGTTAAGATGTGTGTTTGTCAAAGTATAATATAATTATTTACATTGCAGATATCTTTATATGTATCGATATGCTTTATAAGAAAAAAGCTAAAAATCTTTCAAATAGTTAAACCTCCCGATGATTAATATATTTTTGCTAACTATTCAAGCATTAAGATTTCCTCAGCACATTAAGTACTATAAAAGAAGAATTGTTTAAAATCCTGGTCTTGCATTTAATACTAAAAACTGATCTTATAGTAACTTTTAGCTATGAAAACTAATTACAATACAGTATTATATTAAACTATAGATAGCTTCGTGGGTTAATAAAAGCTAATACATATTCCAAAATAGTTTGTACAAATTTAAAATTATTTCTTCATAGAAGCAATATAGTTTTGCCAAAAATTTATTTTGGAATTTATGTTATAAGCGAGTATATCTTGTATGTAATAAATAGTCAAATATTGTATTCTTGTATGAATATTCGATTTTTTTTTGACTCTTAAATTTGAATAACATGATTTTTATTGTATAATAATCAGTAAAATTGGTAAATTTATCAATTGATTATATATAGTGTATTTAATCAAATTCAAATTTTTTATCTTTTGCTTATTCTTTTCTTAATTATAGAATTTGTTCATATTGAAAGTGATAGTAATAGTGCAAATACCGATTATGAACCTTCTGTTAACTACGAATCTGATGATAATTATGGATCTGTCGATAATTATGAATCTGTCAATAATTATGAATCTAGCTTTAAGAAGTCAGAGGAAGAAATCCTAGTCATCGATCTAACAAACCAAATTCATATTCACCTTTTGATGATTATGAGGTTATTGCTACTCAATCAGTAATTATTTGATTTATTTTTAATTCTATAATATAATAAAACTCATTAATTTTTTTTATCTATTAAGTCTAAAGTAGCTAATCATAATAATATGAATTCTAATGATGTCGATGATACATTACCAATTAATTTAATAACTGAAAATTTAAGAGTCGGTGAAATTAGATACTCTACTTTGCCAATAGAATATCTACCTACTTCAGAACAAAGCATTGCAATTGTATTTAATATAGAATCTTAGAAATCATATGATGTTTTTTTCAATAATGTAATATTAAGTTTGAAATTTTTTTTTTTTTAAATTTTATATAATGTATTTCTAAAATATCTTTTATTTAGATACAGTATCAAAGAGATCATCCTAGTGAAGATAGTAATACGAAAGTTTGGTGTACTTTTTTAGACTGTGATGTACACAAATACTATTTAACTTGTCAAGGTATTAAATGATATATATTTGCATGTGCCAAAATTCAAAATGCTTCGCATAGCGAAGTTAATATAGATACAGATCTTTATCAAGAAGAAAATCTGGCTTTAAATGATCAAAAGTCTAAAGAAATGCAAACATATACGTAAGTAATATTTTTGTGATTCTGTTTATTTAAATGTATATAAAATTTATTTAATTAAATTAATTTATTTTTATTTTTTGATATATTTAACAAATATCTTGCCATAATTGGATTACAATGTCCTTTTAATAATAATAATTGTAAGGGAAACTTTGTTGTACAAAAATGTAATAAATATAATAATTAAGCTTCTGAAAGTTGGTTTGTTGGATGTAATCGATAGTGGGATAAAAATGGCAGTGGAAATCATTTCTTTCATAAATTAAAAAATAACATTAATATTGATTTATTAAAACGACTATTTAATAGCAAGACTGTAAGTATATAAATAATTTAATTATTATTTTTTTTTAAATTATTTTAATAATTATAAATATTTTTAGTTTGAATCTACAAGTGAAGCAACAACATGTTCATTAGTATTGTTATCTAATTCTAAAAGAAAAACATGTAGTATGTGTATTTATTTCAAATTAACTATTATTAAAAAATCTTATAATAATAATTATTTTTTAAACTAGGATTTTTGCATCATTATTCTAATGGTACCATTCAGGAAGGATCTATAATTAAACATCATTGTGATGTAAAATATTACAAAATTGTAACATATGATATTAAGAAATGCCCCTATATAATTCTTATTAATAAAGAAATATATAAGCATTCTCCACTCCCACCTAGTAAAGTTCCTAATAAAATTACCAATAAGTTAAAAGTTATTATTAAAGAAGCTTCTGAAGAATTGGTGAATATTACACCAAGAAAGCTTATTTCAAGTAAGTAATACTATTAAATCTTTTTGATTCGATATATTCAAATTATTAAAAGTTTAAATATTTATTAATAAATTATATAATTATTTAGATAACCTTATTAAAGCGACATTTGGAGTTAATTATTTCTCTCAAATCCATGCTTCACTTAACAATATCGATAAATTGAGAAGACTTATATCCAAGGTTCAAAAAATTCATCATCCATTCGGTCAAGGCCTTCTTGGTTTAACATATAATATTTAGAAAAAAAATGCTAAATATTCTGACTATGTGCAACAATCAGGTACATAATATAAGTTTATTTATTTTTATAATAACATATTAAAAATATATATAAAGTTAATTGCATAAATAAAATTTTTAAAATTTGTTAAGGTTAGATTAAAGTTAAGAAAATTATACTATTAAACTTGTACTATATATATTTTTGGTATGTTTATAATAATTTATTTTATATATACAATTAAATTAAATTATTTTTTTGGCAATTTTTTCAAATAGCCAGTTAATAGTTATTTGTATGTCAGAATTACAAGCTAAAGCATAGATTGATTTAGAGTATTTTGAAATTGATTTATTTTTTAAAAGAGTTTCTGGTGAAATAAATGAATTCGAGATAAATTATTATAATAAAAAATATAAATTAAGTAAGTTTTTTTGTTTTTTAATTTAAATTTATTAAACTATTACTAATTTAATTAATTTGTAGCTTTAACATATGCAAGAGTTTTTACAAATATTGCAAATACTGAAGCTTATTATCGAATGTTTAGTTCACTCTTTGATTGGATATCTAAGTTAACTAAAAAGTTACCACAGTTTTATTATATTTATAAAACAGGTTGGAAATGTATTATTGGAGATCTTGATTATTCACAAGCAAAAGGTTTAGGTGAAGCCTTACATAGTATTGATAAAAGTTTATCATGGGATGAACATCTTTGTCACATATTTAAAAGCTGCCGTATTCATTATTGCAGGTATTAATTTTTAAACTATTAGTATTATTATTACAAAAACTGTTGGTATACGATTATGAAATAATCCAATAATTATTTTTTTTGCTTTATTTAGAAATATTAAAAATAGTCATTATTCTTCTAAAAACAAAGAACTTATGTATGAATTACTTGAAGCAAGTATATGTGCTCATGTTGATAAAATATTTGAAGAATTAAAAACATCTAATGAATTAAATATTAATGGTAATTATAAATTATTTATATATTTATATAATACATATTGTATAATTTATATAATTATAATATTTTTAGATTGGATTTCATTCTATAATACTACATGGGTAAAGGCTTCTTTAAACTCATTATTTTTATTTATGGATATGAAGATATGGTTTAAAGCACCTGATAATACGAATGTGGCAGAGGCAAGCCATGCCAATATTAATCGTGATGGCAAATCTCTTTCTTTAGAGAATGCGATTATTAAGTAATTAAATAATTTGTATTATAATTTTTTAATTTATAAATATATATAATTATTAATTTTATTTACTATTGCTATTTTTAGGGCAAAGCATTATGATGAACGTTATTTTGCTATATGCAATATTCAAGACAAATATGAAATTAATAAATCAGGAAAAAATTATGGTGTTATTGCACGTGAAAAACAAGTAATTAAAAGATCAGGTTTAAATTCATAATATAATACAAAATTAACTAATAGGTTTTTATTATCTGGTTAAAAAAATTAAAGCCAGCCGGTCATATTAATTTTAAAACTTTATATTATGAAATCTAATTAAATAATTTTGTATAGCATGATATTTTTTTGTTAAGGTTATGGTTTTAATTTTTAAATTTTATATATTTATATAGTTCATAAATCTCAAAAAACTAAACGACATATTAATAAACCAACAAAAGCATTAAAGAAACCAAAAGTTGATATCGATTCAATTCAGAATACAAAAAATGATTTAGAGATACAAGAAAAACAATTGTCAATAAAGGAGCGTGAATTAGAATTGGAAGAACGTCAGGTTCGTTTAGAATGTGAAAAGCTTGAAATAATAAAATTAAAAAAAGAATTAGGGTATGAATAGAAATTTTCGCACATGTTAGTTTTATTGTATTTGCTTTAATAAAATAGATATTTAAAGCTTGCATTTGCTTAGAATAATATATCAAACTTTTTTTCTTTAATTAATTATCTTCAATTAATCGATTATACGTATAGTTTGTATCATAATTAAATTGATTAAAGTAATTTAAGTGTGATCAATAAATTTAAATAATTGACCCTAATCAAATTAATTATCATATCACAGGGACAAGTTACCAAGTTACTTTACTGATCGAAATAAAACTGAAAAGGTTTACTAATTCAAACTAATTATTAGAGCTAAATGAACATTATATTAACACAGTTTTTTAATTTAATAGTAATAATATTAATACTAATATTAGTTATATTTGGTACTTGAATTTTTGCGAAGCAATTTACTTTAGTCACCTGACACCAGTTAACTTTGTTAGAATTATATTATATTCTGGTTAAAAACTGTATACAAATATTTAAGCATTTGAGTAATACTTAGCAAAAAAAAAATCTATATACTACTCATCTAGTTTAGTTTACATTACTGAATAATGCATTTTCTGATAATACTTAGTAAAAAAAATTTAATATGCTAATCAGTTGAAGCAATATACTATACTAAGTAGGGTATTACCTAGAAGATCTTACCTAGGATCGCTAACAAAAATACAAAAATTCACGCTTATGTAATATTGATAAATTCTTTGAAGTTTATTTATGTATAGTAGTGTTTGTATAAGGATTAGAATTTAGTGGTTTATATAGCAAAATTACTTGAAGAAATTTTTTTGTTAAAGCGCAGAAGGTGGTTTCTTATGCTAATTTTTAAAAAACAAGCAATTTTCTCCAACTCTTTCAAAAACGAACGTTTGTTTTAATTTTTCTGATCGCGTTATATTATATGAAATTGTAATCACCTATTGGATGATTTTTGCAAATCTTCACATGAGCGTAAATTTTTGTTGACGATCCTGGGGTAGTTTTGCAGAAACTATACATCATGTGATCAAAATTACAATTACTGAATCATTGCGGCAAATTAAATATAACTCTAAAATTTTAAATTATATTCAGTATATACATACTCTGATATATATTATATATATTTGCAAATATGCTTATTAATACTAAGTATTGCTTACTTTAGCAAAATGCAAATCTGACCATTTTCTGAATTTAGAATTTTAACACAAAGACGTTGAATTTACAATATTGGAAGTTTTTTTAACCAATTAAGTAAATCTGAATTTATTGAATGAATAAAGTTATTTTTAAAAAAGTCAAATTATATATTAATAATAATCTATATATTATCTAATATGAAAAAAGTAAAGATGAAAAGCAACAAAGTTTAATTATTATCAAGTCTTTATATAATAAAAAAATATTTAGAAATGCATATAGGTCTTTAGCCTGTATTGAAAAAAAATTACCACAAGAAGAAGCAATATATGAAATACAAAAAAATATTAATTTTAAAAAAGCAATATAATTCTAACAATTATTATAAAACACACCTATGGTGGTTTTGCATCTATTATATATTTTTATTATATTATTTAAAATTTTCCAAGTTTTTATAAGTT